ATGGAACAGAAAATTTCAGTGTTCAGAAAACAAACTCTCTCTACCGGCTATGCTTTTGGAGCAGGCACATTTTGAAATCCATGAGAATATTGCTCTATGTGTTGCAAGGGTAAACAATATGTCTGTTTTCCAACTGCTCACTATGGGAGTCAAACACATGCACCTATAAACCAGAGTAAAGCTCACAGGCCTAAGCTGGGCACATGCATAACGTTTTTCATCTTCAATCCCTCTGAAGAGAGGAGGAAATCACATTAATCATCACAGCACAACTGTGAGATAAATACAAAATGATTGCTTACCCTGTAGTGTATTTTATCTGAAAATTTTATCTCATACAACTCTGAATGCAGCTTTTGCACCTTAGCACAAGGCTAGCAAAACTTCCTGAATTCATTAATTAACAAGAAATGGTCACACTAGTAATTTTTTATGATGATGTGATAGAAAGAAAAAGAAAAGGAAGAAAGAAAAGTGATAAATTAATCCCTGAAGTTTGTTTTAGAAGTGAATTGTGACAGCTGAGTACAGTGATTTAGAATCTGGAAGTGAAAAGGATCAAAATGGGTCAGTTTATGGTATGTCATAACATACTCCTGTCTGGAACCTCTGGTCCTTCTGATGTTGCGCTTGCCCCAAAAAGTCATGCTCGTGGACTTACTCATTAGCAGTAGACAAACTGTCTGACCAACATCTCAGCGAGTGGGTACCATGCTGCTCTGATATCAATGCCCCTCGAAGCAGTCAGAGTCTTGGTTTTGAATGAATCCTCTTGGGACACCCATGGATAACTATAGCATTAAGGATCGTGACCTTCAGGAACGATGCATGTAGGTTCTCTGGTGAGACTTTTTGCCTCACCAGAGATTAGTTATCCAGCTGTGCTCTGTACTAGGACTATGTCATCATTATGTTATGAGACTCAGTACTAGAAGCCTCAAAGATGGTTCTACGACCATGGGACCCCTCTAAGGCTCAACAGCTGCTTGGGAGACACAGGATCCACTTCACTACATGAGGCAAAAGGATCTTTGCCAATAAGCTGACCAACTTCATATGGAGAGCTTTACTCTAGAAATTATGTGGGAGGGAATAAGGAAACTTGGGATAGGGTAGACAAATCAAGAGGCTGGGACGATGGGAAGAGAAGGGATATAGTAATTCACAAAGAAACTGAGCTGAAGTGTAATTCCTTTGACCATAGGCATGTAGAGAAGGAAGTTCCCATAGAACAGCCTTGTGGGAAAGCTCTCAAGCAGCACAGAACCAGCACACTTGGATGGCCCTCAGAGGTCTCTAATGCATGCAGCATGGGGAAGACTGTGTGCAGTTACAGAGTTACAACCTCATTGGGATCATGCAGTAATGGTGCGACAGCTCACAAAACTGGAGTGCTGTGATGGAGGGATACAGACTCTTTAGCACGAAGGTGAGAAAGGGTGTTGCCCTTTATTGAGAGAGTAGCTGGAATGCATGAAGCCCTGCCTTTGGACAAGTCAGAAGTCAGCTGAGAGCTTTTGGGTCAAGATTTGTGGGCAGATCAATATGCTGTTGTACTGGGTATCTGCTCTAGATCAGGAAGCAGTAGATAAGGCCTTCTTTACACAACTGGAAGAAGCTTCACATTCACAGGCTCTGGTCCTCAAGAGCGATTTTAGCTACTTCAATACCTGCAGGTATCTGAACACCGTCCCCTCCCTCTTTTTTCTGTGAGAGTGCTCAAATGCTGGAACAGGTTGCTCAGGGAGGCTGTAGAGTCTCCATCCTTGCAGATAATCAAAACCAGACTGAAAATGGTCCAGGGCAATCTGCTCTAGGTGGCACTGTTTGAGCAAGAGGATTTGACTAGTTAATCTCAAGAGCTGCTTTCCCACCTCAACCACTCTGTGGTCTTGAAATGTTTAGTTCTATTTAATTTGATTCCTTATACATTTAAAATACAAATATAAGGCCTCACCAGTGAACATATACATTACAGCTTTATTCTTGACACACAGGCCCAGTGCAAACCCATTTTCTCCAACTGAGTGGTCTCACTGAGATCAAATTAAGCAAAGCATATTTAGGACTGTGGCCCAGCACAGTCATTTTCCTAAACAGGCATTTTATTTCACCTTTGTTTATCCAGAAGATCTCATTTGTATTAAAAGAACTTCCATTTCATATAGAAGGTCAAAGGTTCACTGATCTGTTATTCCAAAGGCAAAGCTTCTCCCAAACTGAAGGTATATTGAAAATTTAAGCAATGTAGATGAAAATAATAGGCAATATATATCAAGTTAGAAATCTTAACTATGTGTTTTTTCTTTAAGTTTCCCAGTGTGGCAACACTGGCCAACAGACATCTAGTAAATTGCAAATAAAATGTCCTGAATCACAGCTAATGCATATAAATATATATCACTGCAGAATGGTAAAATGGCAGAATTTCTATTTATATAGGATGCTCAACAGAGGCTATGTAGACAGAACAATATTTTAACATGTCTTTCAAAATGGGGAGTGTCTGTTGCTTACCATCTCTGGTGAATTTTAACATAAAAACACTCTTCGTTATTCCTGTCTTTCTGAAACATTTCACCTCTCCACTACTTATCAAAAAATTACCCTACACCTGACACCACAAGACATAAAAAACTACCTTCAACCACAGCATTTAATTGAGAGTGTTTGGCACAAGGGGCTAGGAAAGCACTGACAGTTTACAAGCTGTGGTAAAAACAGTAATGGTTAAACACCTACTGTAGGAAAAGAGATTTCAGTAGCACAGTTTCTCATTTTCTTTGCTGGTTGGCAGAAGGCAATACACACAGAGCAGTCTTTGGATAGAATCACTACAGAATCATAGAGTTGTTTAGGTTGGAAAAGATCAGAGATGCAAATACAACTTTGAGAGGGAAAACACTGCAGAGCACTGCATATTAAGATACCTTTAAGTAACAATTTTGAGTTTGGTGCTTGCCAACAGAAAATGCCTGGTTACATGATATTTTCACAAAAAAGATGAAGATTCTGTGTTGCAAAACAGGATGAGAAAGCACAGTGTGGAAAACAAGACACTTTAAGCAGTCACAAAGCATAATTGACAATAAAGGTGAAATATAAAAACAAGAAGGAGAAGGCAGTAGCAATTCCAACCCACCTATTACATTTAAGTTCTAGATTGAAATTTCAGCAATAATTTCTCAGCTGTGGCAAACAAACACAACACATAGCAAATTGGTCAGCATATTATGTTTTCCTCTCATTCCTGACCATGAAAACATGCACCTTTGTGTCACACAAAATTCACTGGAGGATCAATATCTCTTGTCATAAACTGACTGAGATGACAAACGTCTCCCAGCAGGAAGCTAGGGTTCTGGGCAAGAAGGGGATGAAAGAAGAACAAAAGGGCAAAGAGGACTTCACTCTTTCTTAGGTGAGAAAATGTTAAAAAAATGTATGTACGGTAATAATGGAAAAATATTCATAACTTTCTTTTATTATTCTCTGATGCATTTCTCAAAGCAAAACTATACTCTTCTTCAAAAGAGTTGACCTAACTACTCTAGGTTACCCACCTTGTATGCTACAGACACACTTCTCAGGAAAATGAAAACTCAGGAAGTGCACTAACAGTCTATTACTGTACAACCTAAAGCATATATTGTTCCTGGGGGAAACCTATCAATGACCCCATTTGAAGACAAGATTTTCTTCCTTTCACTGCTATCTAGCATGAATACATAACTTCCTCAGAAAAAAAACCACCAAAACTCCTAGGTAGGTTATTAAATCGCTTTCCAGGCACTCGCCATGGTAAACCAAATTTCCAACACTTAATATAATTGCAGCTTCTGAACTTAGAACGAATCTGGCTCGTATTTTAGAAACAAGTGTCAGTTTTATTTGTTTTGGAAGATGAAAGATTAATTAGAACAACATCTATGGAATGGCAAATCTCCCTTCCTACTTGTCTCTGTAATGATCCATATAGTGCCTTGGTTTTCTTCCTTTCAGTTGTACATTCCTCAGCAACACTTAGAATGCACAAACATATCTAGTCATAAACTTTTATTAGAATTCTGTTGAAATACCAGAATTGCAAATAAATTATGCTAAATAATGAGGAAGTTAAATGATTCTACACTGAGCCACTGACTTCTTTGGCAGCTATTTGTTTAAGTGCCTGAAGGAGTAATTATATTGCCTCTGGAAGTTTAGTTTAAACCAACCAAAGCCCTAAGCCCTAAATTTTAAGAAAATAGCAAGAACTGTATGCAAACTCCCAGGAAAAGGATGATAAGTAAAGCTACTGATCCATTAAGAGAATGTAATAACCATGTTTTAAACATAGTTAGAAGACTTTCAGGACTAGCAATTACAGCAACAACTTTTGTTCTTTTAGATTGTCCTCATCTCCCTGCTCCACACATTGTGTTTTTCTCTAAAAATTAAGACGATTTTAAGAGTGTGACAACCAACATTCCACAACAGGGACACACTGCATGAATATCAAGGAACAAAAATGCATGTGAGCAGGCAAAAAGTTTTTCAGGGGAACCATAAAATGCAATTATCATTGTTTTAGCATTTATAACTCATAGAGTCCAAGTGGCCTGGGAGAATACTTAATGGAAAACAGCACTCACAACAATAAATTAACAATTATGGAATGCAGACAATGCATTCCCAGATTACTTTTCAGTATGAAAAGTCCTGTCACAAATCCATTTTAGGACTCAATACAGAAGGATAAAAAACAAGGAGAGCAATCTCTGTACACTGACCAATTTCAGTCTCAGGTGAACATGAAAGCAATAGACATATATTCTAATTAATGATAGTTCAGGTATTTCAGAGTGAAACATGAAGAGAAAATAGAAGTCACAGCTTAAAGACTAAGCTTTTCAATAGACAGATTACCAGATTTACCAGATTTCTTAGTTAATATTTTTACTCTTTTGCGAAGTACTTTTGTAGCAGATAAATAACATCAACTGAAAAATAAATCTTACCTGTTTCCTCTTTTCAGGCGGAAGCGATGGATCCCCATCCTACAAATAAATGGACATATTCTATTGGCAACTTATTTCTCAAACCAGCAACTATATTAACTCTGTGGATCAAATTTTAAAACATGTATTTTAACTAAAATGCTATCAAAATTGTTTCTAAAATACTACTGATGAATACCAGTAATACTAACTTCAACTCCAAAAGATTTCTAAGGTTGAGGATTCGTTTACATTTCTAGAACAGCAGGTCATTACCAACTGATGTTGAACTATTTTTCATAATGGTACATTAAGTTGCTGTGGAATAATAATACTGCAGTCAGTTTTTAAATAGAATTATGACTGAAAGTAATTTCTTCAGAGCACGCACTGTCTTTTTGTATCTTATATAATAATAAGCACTACCTCATCAATGCAGAACAAATGAGTAATAATATGATCAGGGCTGTACAGCTGCAGGGCTACTGTAAACAAGTACCTAAACAATTTTTGCAGCAATTATTATGGACTTCTTTCCATTTTTTTGAGGTTCAACTTTGTCCCCCAATTATACAGTGTTCATAAAGAACAACCTACAATCAGCTCCCGATACTTCTTTTTCAGAGACTGGTGTCGTTCCCGCAACTGGTTGGCCATAAGCTTGTACTGGTCTCTTTCCTGTTGACAGGTGTCTAGCTCTTTGGAAAGGATTAGCAATGCCTCCTTTTTACTTTCGAGCTTCCTTTTGCACACCAGATACTGCAAAAGAGAAAAAAAACATAAATGTAACAAGCCATTTCTACCCCAGCCAGTACTGCATACAAGAGGCTCAAGTTCTCTTAAAAGAATGGAGGAAGACTCCGCACAAGATCAAAGTCTGCCACAAGTCAGCTTATTAACAATAATCACGGGAAAGATATCTGTTATATTGGAAGCCTGAAATAATTTGTAAGGCTACACATTCACCTGACCACTGTGAGTTAGAAAAACTTTGCAATTCGAGTTTCTCCTCTTTTTCCTCACATGCAGTAGTATGAGGAACCTTGCAATTTCACCAGCAGCCCTGGGAAGGCTGCCAGAAGGAAGAAGCACTTGCAAACTCCCTTTTCTACTTGTGTTCACAATACCCAGCTCTCAGGCAGCAACCAGCCCTTCCCACTTCACTTCCCACTGCCCTCCTCTTCCTCACTACCAGCAGTGTCCTTGGGGCTCTGAACACTGAAATGGGACCATGTTACAGGAGAAGGGGTAGCTTGAGCATTAACCAAATTTACCTTGAGTCTGAAATGATTACAGTGTGACACCCTATTGACACAGGTAAAAGAAACTTAATTACTGTGTGATACTACAGGCATGTGCTTGTTGAGGCAAAAGAATAGGAAACAACAGAAGAATGCTGCAAACACCTAAATGGGGAGGGAAGGGAGAGGTGAACCTTCTCCTCCAGCCACCGCCTTTCATGTGCAGGGCTCATGCACAAAGCAGAGCAGAACTTGCAAATCTAAGGTGTTCTGCATTAGTCCGACGTGCTTCGCTGCCTTTCCCCATCGAGAGGAAGAGAGTAACGTGTATGTCATCCTCAATGCTACCTATCAGAACTTTCAGGTAACTTCTTTCCCTTAACGTGATGTTCAATCAGCAGATTATTCTCACCCATCACTGGACACTGCTCACGCTAAAGCATTTATTTCTATTTCTGATGTTACTGACATACAACGTGGCACTAAATACTTTCTGAATGTGCTCTGCAAGAGACCAAATACCACAGCAGTCATGAAAACAATTTATAGTTTCATTATATCCTCTGACAAGAATACTTTGTCATTATGGGCTCTTGCACAAAGCAAGAGCATCAGCACTTCCGTACTTTCAAGTCAGTGCTGTTCTTTGGGACAGAAATCATTATTTGTATGTACTACTTGCTTGGAATTAACTTTGTTAACCTCCATTTCAAGTCAATGAGAAAGGGAAAAGTGAGTTTGGTATATTAGTACAGCCAACCTTTTCCAAAAATGGTAAATGCTTAGTTGCAAAAAAGTGGGAAGGGAATGAGAAAAGCAATTCCAAGAAGGATTTGAACTCTCAAAAAGGACACTTCCACCTTGGCTTAAGTTTATTTCTGGCAATACTGAAGTTGAAATCCTGCCATAAATTTTCTGGATTATGATGCCTTGGCATCAACAAAGGCAACTGTACCTATGTACTTATGTCCTTACTGATACCTTACACAAATGTCAAATCCCCTGATAAAGCACTGAAAGGTATCAGAAGCTAAACTTTAATATTGTCAGCAAGTGAATATAGTGACATGGTAAACTGCTTCGAACTTGATAAAATAATTCCTTCCCTTACAGTGAAATATTTACCTCTGACAATCTCTCTTCTTCTATTTCCAGTTTCATCCAATGTCTTAGTAATTCTAAAGTATGCCTTCACTAAATTGTTTTAAAATACTAACAATCTGATAGAGTAATTGCAAATAAAAATAAGTAAAAGCAAACCCCACAATCACTTCAAAAAAACCCAACAGCCTAAAGCCCTGAACCAAGTAGCCTGTCCTGTTCCTTTAACCAGCAGGAAGAATGCAGCTGGCCTATCAGCCAACACCTATGCAATGTACACAATGGGAGTGGAAAGAAGCCAAACATGTCACCTTAATACACCCACAGCACCAGCAGGTGCCTCCGAGCATTGCCTCCATTGCTGGTGTATGAAGGAGTGTATGACAGTTGCAAGTGAACTACAGCATGTGGATAAGACTACAAAACCCAGTACTTATGAGACAAGAAATACAGACCTAGCACCAAACAAGTCTTGTTTCTGCCATGAGTCACAGCCCTCCACAACAGACACATTCAGAGCATAAAAGAACACTTCACCTTTCACAGCAGCACTGGTGGGGCCAAGGGAATTCTCCATTATCTGCTAGGCTGTGGATAACAAACTATATGAGGATTGTGAGGGCAATTGCATTCAGGGTCTAAATGAAAAGGAATAATTATGTCCTCCTTGTTCAAATTATATTTTAACTTGATGAATTATATACTGATGATGTGCTATACAGACAGAAGGGGTTTGGCATCTCCCATCAATGTACTGTTTGCATTTTACTATAAAAATGACCACGTAGAAGACTTTTGGAAGCCATTTTTGCCTTTTGCATATACTGATTTTCTCAAATAAATGCAGTAATATTGTAATAATTTTTTTCCATGGGCTTATGGTACAAAAAACAACAAAGCCAATGCATGTCTGTGGAACTTGGTTATTCAACAGAGCTATGTTTGCAGTTCCCCTTACCATTTTTGAAGGAAAAACAAATTTTACAAAGACAGACCTCAGAGGTTATTCAATATGTATGTTTCTGAGTATTAAAAAAAAATGTAGCAATAATGGCCCTAACCATAGCAATAAACCAACCTAATGACTGTACACCAGAAATGGAAAACAACTGAGTCCCATACACAATTTCCTTTATATGGACAACTAAGTGCAACACAATTGGTATGCTGTCAAAAGGAATATAGGAGCGTGACAGTCTTTTTGGAGCAATGCAAGGAATAAGGCAAATTTTCTCAAATAGTCTGAAAAAAGTATTCAGTAGATGCTGCTGGCATTCATTCATATAGAGATTTCTTCTTCTGCAACCGAAGGAAAGCCTACCTCTCACATGCTGTCTATCAGTCGGACAAACTAGTGAATTCTGTTATGCATTATAGTTACTATGAAACATTCTAATGGTCTTTTATTTCTTTTTAACTAATGTTACAAAATAATCTATGAATTTAAAAAGCAAGGTTAAACAAGAACCAGCTGCTATACTTTCAATCTAAAAGCTACAATAGACAACTTTTCATATCAGTCTAGTGACTTTCATCTACCAATTTGCTGTTATCTGCAATAAAGCAAATTATAATTGCTACGAGGAAGATCATAATAATTAAAGGAATATATATGACATCCTACATTACTGCCTGGACTGCTTTACAGCCTACTTTAGTGAAATTGAGTAAAAAGAGACTGACATTACAGGAGAGTGTAACTGCTCCAAGGTGACCCTCTACACTGAACACTTACTATTTGTCCATTGCTATTTTTAGTGACAAATCTGGGTAGATCTCATTAATGACGTTGTAGACATGGTCTAATAATCTGATGAGGCTGGAACACTGTCAAGGTTTTAGACTTTCTTTTTTTAAACCAACAAACAGACTGAATACCTATCAGAATTTTGTTTTTTAATTTGTACAAATTACTGCCCTATACTTTGGTATTTAATGGCAATTAATGTCAAGGAAAATATCTAATTTTCTGAGACTAAAAGTATCACTGTGGATCATATTCTGTGTTCTCTTGACGCTCCAGGGCCTTGTGTCCTCCTAAATGATGAAGGGCTACCACACTGGGCCTTGAAACCTATCATCCACCATGCTGAGAAACCAGGAAAACTCTACTCACCACCTTTTGGACAAGAGATCCAACTGCTACTGAATTGTCTGAAGTTTTATCAAATTTCTCCTCATTATACTCTTGGAGGCAATTTTGTTGTGGAAACTGCAAAGTCTCAAAATGTATTGCAATCTCATTATTTGGGATGTTTGTTGATTGTGTTTCAGTAATGTTGCTCCCCTTGACTTCTGATTAAACTGTTCAACTTATCTGAAAGTCAAGCATTCAAACCCAGAGAAATACACAATTGCTGGCCATTTGTCTGCCATTTTATGTCCTCATCTCTGATAAAACCTGAGAAAAATGCAGTGACCTTGGTTCTATCCCACCATATCAACTCTGCTTTTCCTGCTGCCCAGCTCTTGCTTCACTAGCTGCCTCCCAGCTGCTCAAACACGAAGCAGGATGGTATCGTTCACTGATGATATAAGCAGCTCCTCAGAACACCATGTCTTACCCTGATGACAATATTACACCACATCATCTTCACTGGTCATGTAGGAATTACTGTAATTTACTGTTTAAAATAACACTACTTTCTGATGTGGCCCAGCCCTTAAAAGTTTTTTATGCTGTGCATTGGATTACATTAATTTCTCTGTGTTTGTTCCACAACACAGAGAGTTGTGAGTTCCTGTGAGTATCTTAGTCCAAACCGAAACATGGCAACATGAAAAGCAAACACTTGGTTTTTTTGCCCAAAAGCCCAGCATGCAGGTCTTCACAGCACCTCTCTCACAGCTCCTGAGAATTCTGGAGTGCAGTAAGTCACAGTGTCAACTCTTTCAGCATTTCCATTTCCTTTTCCAAATGCTACGACTCAAGTTTCTTTCGTGTCAAACAAGCAGTTATTGACCAGGTCTTCATCCTGCAACTTTACATCACCTTTGAAATACCCTAAACACGGGTCATTCAGTGACATAAATGTTACATAAAAACCCAAAGTCCAAGCAAAAAATTACCTGGTGTCCCAAGAGAGTACTTCACGTTTTATATATATCCATCCATCACCAATACATGAATTCACCTAAAGAACGGGTAAAATTTATGTGGGTTCTTGCTCTTAAAGCCTGTTCTTTTGCACCCAGTTTGTGAAATGATCAGTGGAAACAATGACTCTTTCTGGTCCTTCAGTATTTGCTAAGTTGGCTTTGTCCCAGTATTCCTTCCTACGCCATCCTATTCAGAGTTAGTTTAAAGAATGTTCAAGGTACATGTGGTACAAAGATTTTTCAGAGTACCAGGTGCACACTAGGCCTGAAATGTGTGTGGCTGCACAGTAAGTGGAAAAATACAGAAACATGGAGGCAAAAGAACAAGCAAGAAGATAGTGGTGAGCATAATAAAAGCAGAGAAAGACATATGAAAGGGTACAGATCAAAAAGCACTGAAATGGAACAAAACTCAAAAGGAAGAGTAAATATAGAAAAAGACTGCAACAGACCAAAAAAAAGGTATTCTTTTTATCTAATGAAAAATGAAAAGACAACCTACAAAAATATATGCTGTGTGTATAAGTGTTTGTGCAAGTAGATATAAGTACCAAAACCACATCCTACCATTTTTCTTAACACCTGCAATACCAGACTTTTAAAAATTACAGTTGTTTTGACAAGTATTTAAATTACTCCTACCTTTCAAACTTGGAGGACTGGGCTTGTGTAAACGAAAAAGAATGTGACCACAGATCTGAACTCACCAGCTGCTGGCCTTTTACACCAAGATTTTTAACCCCATCTTATGTTTTAGTTGTCCAGCATCAGCAATGGAAGAGGGTTTGTTTAGAGCTACCATGTCTTTTCTCGTCTGTGTTATCTTGTATTTTGAAAGCATTTCAATATGTTTATGAAATACACAGGGAAAAAAAACTTAAAATTACCTAGCAGACACTGAAGCTAAGAGGTCTTGAGAAGCTCTGTACCGCTCAGGGATATGGAAAATTTGAAAAACTCATTCCAAGTTACTTCAGAAGTTTGAGCCACAGACCCATCAGGATGTTGGAGTTAATGGGTAAATTGCATGGAGTGAATCACTAACAGCCAAGGGAAGAGGAAGGCAAAAGAGAGAAGCCTATATCTGACAGCAGCAGAAAAACAGGCTGTAAACCTGCTGTGGGAACAGAGAGAAAGGGCAGAAAAATGGAATATAAAGCACTAGGCCTCTAATTGTTCCAGATAAAAAGAAATTATATGTATGCTTAAGTATCTGAGAGAATACTGTAGCTTAGCACAATCATTAAACTTTGCTACAATTAGGAAGCCCTAAACTAAGTGTTCAATTTCAGGATGAAGTTTTTAAGTTGAACTATATAAAAAGTCTTTTATCTCTTACCCTTCACTGCCACGTGAAACCACCCTCACCCCCAAATAAAACTCCATTTGAGAAATGAGACATCAAATGCAACACTGCACGATCAGGATACGGCTAAGAGTGCACCTTTCACTTTCTTCTGAATCATTTTGTGTGTTTGCATAAGCAGCCTCCAGTGCTAGATGCAGTGTACTAGCACAGATCTGGGCCTACACAAACTCCCACTGAAATCATCAGGACAGGTGACAGATTCAAGACCCTAAACTCAAACATCTTTCTGACTGGTCAGGGCCTTAAGCCTTATGCTCACATAATATAAGGGAGGCAAAGCCCTCCTGAAAACAGGAATTCACCTGCGTCTCTAGGACAGCAGACAGTCAGGTTTATCTAGGCCCATGCTGTTGGCACAAAAGTTTTGTTTGCTAATATAAACACAAAAATACTATTTTTATAGTAATGCAAAATCAATGAAATGCAACATGCCATGTAAAAATCAGCACAGTAACCTATTTCATGAGTTTTCCTACTAAACAGACTTGACTTTGGTGACACTTCTTTAAATTATACTGACCTCAAACGGTTTCGAGTTTGGTAACTTATCCTACATGAAAATGTGTACCCGTTAAACACCTGGTAATCTTTATTACCTTTTGACAATAAAGTTTCTATTCTTGTAATCTGAAAATCCTCCACCTGTTGAAGCTCATGGCTACTGTACTATCACATTCTTTTGTCCCGTTTTATAAACGTCCCCCGTGGCTCTCAGAACCCTTCCACACGCGATTCAAGTAAAGCACGAGCACACGGCACTGGGCACAGCCCGGTCACCCGGCCTGGCTGCCGCACCGGGGCTGCGCTGCTCCCCCGGGCTGGCGGCAGCGCCGGCCCGAGGCCTCGGTCAGTGAATCCTCGGCGATTTCAAGCCAGCAGCAGCCTCAGCGCCTGAAACCTGCTCTCCGCAGACCCAGGGCTGGGAACACACGGAGAGGTTCTCAGGCCCTTGCTCCCGGCGCTCACAGCCGTGCGGGGCGGGGACGGCAGCAGGGCAGGGCCAGCGGCAGCCGTGCCCGGCACAGCCCAGTGCCTCCCGCCCGCCGCTCCCCCCGTCACCGCCCCTGGGCCCGGGCCGGTCCCCTCCCGGCCGCTGAGCCCCGAGGCCCGGCAGTTCCCCCGAGGCGCGGGGAGCAACGGGGCCCTGCCGCCGCTCTACCCCGGCCCGCGGCCGCCCCGCCGCCTCACCTCGCTCAGCAGCCCCTGCCAGTCGCTCTCGCTGCGCTGGGAGCTCATGGCTCCGGCGGCCCGCGGCGGCGACCGGCTCCGCCCGCCCCGGCCTTCCCGAGCAGCCCGCGGGAGAGGCGGGGCCTGCGGCCGCCCGTGCGACCGGCCCTGCCCGCCGGGACCCGCCGGGACCGAGCTCCGCACGGCCGAGCGCCGGCAGCGCCGGGCCCTGGTGCCCGGGCAGGGAGGCCGGTCCGCGGGGCAGAGCGGCGGGGCCCGAGCGGCACCTGCCGAGGGCTGTGCGGGAGCGTCCGGGTGCGTGTCCCAGAGAAGGGCCCTCCTCTCCTGACGTGCTCCTCCAGTGTAACAGCTGGGCACTGCTGCCGTCCCAGGCTCTGGACAGCCAGGCCTCCGTCAGGACTGGTCGATGAGGCGGCGGACATCAGGGAGACTGTATTCCTATATATGTGTAACAAACCCCTTGCAAGTTATGTACACGCTTGTGTTGCGTGTGTAAGGTAAGACATAGCAGCAGGACAAGGAGATAGAAAACCATTTTCTCAAAATATGATGGTGGAACACTGGCCACGTTGGGCACAGATCTTTGTTCTCACTCAGTTCGCGGAGGTGTAAGTAACGTAATGACCCAGGACTTGATCTAGCTTCCTTTTCACCCCACTACCACAGACATTCACTTCCCATCAGCACTAAAACCGAAGCACGGCACCCACAGGGCGCTCTTCCCCCTTCCTGATCCCTCTGCTCAAGCCATACCCTCTGCAGCCAGAGCTGAAGCAACGTCCATCCCCATGGACTAGATCTACCCTGAGGCACATAACAGGTGATCTTTATTGTACTCCTAACACGGCGAGTGTCCCCAGGACTTATGTTTTCCAGGCAGAGTGAAAGTGTAATTGCATGGAGCATTTGAGCAGTTTAACTCACAAGTACTCTTTGTTTTAAATAACAGCACAAACAGCACAAGACAACACGTTAAAATATGCATGCCTCATTGTTCACCACAATTTACCCACTGTTAAGATTTGTTTGTGCTCTGGCATCTAGGCACAGTGTCCTTTTGTTTTCTAAACTGGCTTCGAGAGCCTCCTTTGACAACTTCGCATCCCTTTGAGCAAGGGATGTTGGCCTCGCCACTGACAACTTTTCTGTTCCCGGTGCTTACTTGACGGCTTATATGGGAAGAAACATAGGTCACATCTGAACTCAGTAGGAGGTCTCTTTGAATGGAAGATTATCACGTTTAATAAATGCCTATGGTTATGTCCATATTAAAACAAAAAACCAACAACACCAAAAAAAAAAAGTCCAGGATAGCAGCTAGCTTTAGTATGGAACTTCAATTTGATAATTAGAAAGTTTATACATTTTATCTGCAAATTATAAATCAAACATAGACATTTGCTCCAGTTTGTAGCCCATATCCTCCTATATTAGCTGTTCCTCATCTCTAGGCATTCTGTAACTTTAATGCTATAGAGAGTACATTTGTCTTTCCTCTTTGTTCATATGTTTTGTGGTTTATGTTGTCACATGTGTGATATATCACAATCCTGCATGTCCTCACAGAACACCATTTCTGAAAACGGCATCATGTTTGCAGAGGTAAATAGCAAATAATTAAAATTAACAAGAACTATAATTTAAACCATTGATTAAAAGGATTGTTAGTGATCTTAGAAACTCAATCATTTTCTTAGTGTTGTTAATAGTTAGAGCTATACAACTGGTAGTGTAGATGAACCAAACAGAATCTTTTTCCTAGTTTCTCATTTGCAGAATTTCTCTCCTCTGTTTTTTCGGTCGTGTAGCACTCTGGACTCAGAATGCTCTTGCAGAAACAGCTCATATTATTGAGGCATGTCAGTCATTTTAATCCCAAATCTGCTCGCCCTCCTCACAAACATAAGGTTTTAATTTTTATTGATGATAAGTATTCAAATGAGAAGTAAATATTCATGAAAGAGAGGTTATTAAAACAAAAGGAACTCTCAATGTTTCCAGTTCTTATGATTTTATCAAAAGGTTGATAAGAGCTGGTGTTTTTCAGAAAGCCCAAGCTGTTGGATGAGAATAACCACTTTCTTTTGAAGTAAAAGAAAGATTCAAGGGAATAAATGAAAAATAAGCTGAAATGTGCCTTGAGTACACTTGATACGATCAGAAGGGAAACAAAAGGACCCAAATATGTATTTTTAAGTAATCACTTCTAGTGCCTGATATCAAGACTTTTGGCAGCTTCATCATCTTTCCTGGTCCTCTCTGCCTCACTTACCAGTGGTTCCTGAGGTGCTCCTGTGTAAGGGTCCCAGTCCGGACCGGGTTACTCTGTCAGCCTCTAGGCAGGAACGTACTGAGATACAGTTACTGTCATAACTCAAACAAGTAAAGAAGATGATAGAAAATAAGTACTATCACCCTAGTTTATAGATAGAAACTTGCCTAGGAAAGCTGAAGTTACAAACATAACCAGGGAGCGAAATTGCAGGTTTCAGGACTACCAGTCGACTGTTTTAATTGCAAAACTAACAGGATGTCTTGGCTCTGTTCCTACCTGCTGCAGTAACTTCTTTTGCACCATCACCTTGCCATTATCAGAAGAGTACAGTATTGTCATTGAACATCTGAGACAAAAAAATCTCAACCTTCCTCTCCAGCTACCATCCCGTTCTCTTTGTCTCTAGATCTGTTATCTTTGCTTTCTTCCTCTATATGTTCACTAGATAAAGTTATCTACTTCTAGTGTTTCATCTTCCTTCTCTGCAATTCTGCTTTGTGATCAATCTTTTCCTTGGTATCTTGAGTTCTGTCTTTTCACCAGACTACCCTCCACTTCTCTAAGCATTTTCTACATTTCATTAAGAAGGATTCAGACTTTCTAAAAAACATTTTTTTTGGCCTAGACAATTATGCATTCAGAGTCAGATCCAAGCTACTGTGGCTTGTTGATACAACTACTCAGGTAGACATATGTAGGAGATTTAAGCAACAGTTTTCAATTGCAAGAGATTTAATCAATAGTTTTAAAACACAGCTTTTAGAAATCAGTGTCTTTGTCATACATTAAGAAAGAAAACAACCTCAGTTTGTATCCATAGGTAAGCCACTGAATGGATCACTGCAAATTTTGCTCCTTATTTTTGTCAACATCTGTCTACTGCACTAACTTCATCATTACATCCATGTCTAACTCTAAAGAAATGTAAGAGTAAAAAGCCAGTGTAAATCGTTAAGATCTGGACAGGCTGTATAATTGAAATATAATGAAAACATGTAATGCTTGTCCACTGAAGGATGATTCAGTCTGACTCTCTACGGATGTTTCGGGGTTCCATTTAATCAAGGAATACCTCTGAATGAGGATATAACCTATCATACATAACACATCCATTTGAGTACTTCTGGTAATTTATATTAGCATTATTCTATTTTATGTTGTTGCTAATCTGATGATAAACACACATTCAAACCCTCATGCACACATTTTGGAGGAAGTATACTATGCTTGTTGAGGATACCATTACTTTTAGCTTTTATCTGTTCCCCTATTTGTTTTCTATCCTTTGCTTTTGCCTTTCCTTTTTTAGAGGCTGCTTTTTGTCCATTTATATTCCAGCCGCGCCTTCTCAATTTTCTCAGGTTCATTGCTGGTTTCACTATCCTGTATCAGCTCTTCTACTTCACATGCATGGTCTGTCAGCAGGACAATATGATCTGCAGATCAGAAGCAGTTTAGCAGTTATTCACTTATGTTGAATCCTTTTGTGGCCAGTCAAGTCCGTGAAGGACACATCTTAGGCAATCAACATGGCCAGTCAAGTCCGTGAAGGACACATCTTAGGCAATCAACAAAGATCGTTAAAGTGATGGTGTTTCTCTTTTCCTCTCCAAACGGTTTGGACCTTCAATGTATTGCTTTCCTTTGTGTATTAGATGCTGCCTGTAATATTAAAATCGGGGACAGTCTTTATTTTCTTTTTCTTTTTGTTTTTTAAAGCTATTTTATAACTTGGCTGGTGCAACCGAACACTGGAGGTCAGAGTAGAGTCTCTCTTATAGAGAGAGAGTGGAAAAAAGAGAATTTGGGGTAAGAGACAGGAACAGACTGTGATCTGCACAAACCAGCTCTGGGATGGAGCTTGGTAGTGAGGTCTGGCCAAAGGAGGTTAAAACCAAAGGAAAGCAGCAGTCAAGAGGAGGGAGTGCAGTGAGTGGGTGGGTGGGATGCTCATGGAAAGCACTGGGGGGAAAGCTGTAAATTGGTGGGGCAGAGGGAGACTACAAGTTTGAAAACAAAATCATTTTTAAATGAGTGAACACATATAACAAAAAAAACCTCTCCTAACTCTGAGGTTTTCTGAGTGATTGAAAATCCAAAGTCAGGAGTGTTCTGTTGCATAGATTTTCTGGGAGTAATATATTATGCATAACATTGTATGCAAGTGCTTTGAATAATATTGTTTTAAAGCCTGGTTTCTCCAAAATCCTGTAGTGTTGCAGCATCTAACTCTTAGGCATATGTCTGCGTAGAGAAATCTTTAGCCTCAGGCAATAGAGAAATCTTCATTGGAAAACAGCTGATTGGGTTCTTCCTAGCTTGCTTAGGGCTGAAATGCTCAAAAAATGGGTTGGATGGAAGATACAGGTGTTAGAGCAGGTAACCAACCCTCAGATATTGCTAGCAAACACCAATTATACAGAACTATTCAGTTCAAACACTCTCTTTTCTGGACATACTTAGCCTGACACCAAGCATGGTCTTCAGTGAAGTCCCCCAGGGACACCAGGCTGGATGAGGCTCCAGAAGATGCTGGGGACAGTTCAAATCCAACTTGGATAAGAAGTCTTTAAGTTCTCTAAAAGCATCTATAAAATTAATTGGTTTGATCTAGACTATATTGGAAAAGTTTGGCTCTGTTGTCTCTGATAGAGATAGTAGATAACTGTGTAGGGATTATGAATAATGTTCACCAGCAGAATCTGTGGCTCTTCCCCATAACCTAAGAATAAGAACAACTCAGTAGGAACTAAAAGACAGCAGTAAAGAAAGCAAGTGCAACATCTCAAAGACTGTTTCAAGGCCTTATCATTACAGTTATATATATAGAATTAGTGTAAATGAATTCTGTTTTCCCAGAGGCATCAAACTCCTCCTGTCAAGATAGTCTCTCAAGACACTGGAAAGCCTCTCATGGCCCTCCTGCATCATTATTATTTTTCTTAAAATTTTCTTGCTATTGAGGTAACTAAAAATCCAATATAAGGTCAGAGAAAATATTTTGTCAAGTGGCTCAGACAGGCACAACTGATGGATATTAAGGAAACATGTACTTCA